ACCGTACATGATTTAGAATCGAAGGTCACACGATTTCCCTTGTCACACAATTGACTTATGCTCAAGAGATTGTGTTTAAGACCCTTAACCAACAAAACATTATCAATGGAGGAGGTTTCGTTTTTACCAACCGAACCAATGCCGATTATCTTGCCTTTGCTATTATCGCCAAAGACAACGTTTCCTCCTTTAGTTGGTTTGATTTGCAAAAACTTGGATGCATCTCCGGTCATGTGCTTGGAGCATCCGCTATCAAGGTACCAAAGTACACTTGATGCCTTCAAGCACACCTACAAATCAATTTAAAAAGATTTAGGTACCCAATTCCTTTTGGGTCCTTGGGCGTTAGGTGCACGTTGGTAGGGTGATTGGTTTTGAGTGCAATGCCTATGCCTAGTGAAACAAACCGGGGCTATATGTCCTACCCTATTGCAATAATGACAAATAACATTTGGATTATGCATTCTCCTAGGTTGATAATAGTTACTAGGTTTTCTATATTGATTGACCCTAGTTTGAGAAAAGTTTTGTTTATGCACATTTGGAAAATGGTTTCTAGGTTCTCTAACTTGACCATTGTTTGTCCTAGTGTTCTTTCTAGGTAGTCTAGTGTTCCTGGTTGATGTAGGTTGTCTATTATTGTTCATTTTAGTTTTCCTAGGTTAAGCCTTAGGTTGTTTAGGTGGTTGCTCAACTTTTTCCTTATTATTGGTTTCATTTTCAAATCCTAAGCCATGTTTAGTAAGTTGCAAATTATCAAGAACATCATTGAGATTTTTGTGAGAAACACCAAACTTCTTTAAGGTTCCTTCAAGTTTTGCAACTTGTTCTTTAAGTGATGTACATGAACTAGATTTTGAACTCTCCGGTTTGTCGGCGCTTCTTTTTCTGAAAAACTTATTTTCTTCCTTGAGTTTTTCATTATCTTTTGATAATTTATCAACTTCCTTCTCCATGGAAATAAGTTGTTTCTTTAAATCCTTGTTAATTTTAGAAGCATTGACATATTCATCATAGAGTTCATTAAAAGCTTCTTGTACATCATCCAAAGTATAGGAATCTTTAGAAGTGGTACATACCTCTTCCGGTGGTTCCTCGTGTGCCATGAGGCAAAGGTTGGCGCTTTCATTCTCTTCGCCTTCCGATGACTCGTCGCCGAAATCACCTCCCCATGAAATGTAAGCTCGGTGCTTCTTGAACGGTTTCTTCTCCTTCTCGTTTTTGGCATTTGGGCATTTTGGCTTGATGTGCCCAACTTCTCCACACCCATAGCACTTGGGTGGTCCTCCATGCTTTTTGCCCTTTCATTCATACTCTTTTCGCATGAACTTGTGGAACTTTTTGATGACGAGCCCGAACTCGTTGTCCTCATCGCTTGATTCCTCCATGGCGGGTTCTTGACTTGAGGTAGCCTTGAGTGCAATCCCCTTCTTTTGTTCACCTAAAGAAGGGAATAGAATGGTGGACTCATAGGTTTTGAGGTTACCTCTAAGCCCGTCAATGGTGACGTTGGTGATGCCGATGGACTCTTGGATGGCATCGGCTTTGGAGCGCCACTCCGGTGTGAGACTTCGCAGGATTTTTCTCACAAGCTCCTTGTCCGTATACGTCTTCTTGAGAGCATGAAGATCATTGACGATTTTGGAGAATCGTTCAAACATCTCATCAATTTTCTCGTTTTCCTTCATACGAAACAATTCATATTCATGGGTTAGAAAATCAATTTTAGCTTCTCGGACTTGATCCGTACCTTCGTAGGTGATTTCTAGTTTGTCCCACATTTCCTTCGCGGTGGTGCAACAAGAAATCTTCCGGTAGTCATCCGGGTTAACAGCACAATAGATGATGTTGATGGCCTTGGCATTGTTTTCCACTTTCTTGATGTCTTGTGCATCATATTCATTCTCGGTCTTAGGGACGTTGGTTTCCCCGACCTTCTTCATTGGCACGTCTTCACCATTTTTGATAATTCTCCAAAGGAGAAAGTTGGTGGATTGGATGTAAATCCTCATTCGCTCCTTCCAATAGGTGTAGTTTGTTCCGTCAAACAACGGAGGCCTCGTGGTGGCTTGCCCTACACCTAAACCTGCGTATGAACTTTGAGTAGAAGCCATTGATCGTTTCTCTCAAACGGTTGAGTCTTTCATAGAGTATGGCTCTGATACCAATTGTTAGAATAAAGGCCCAACGCTAGAGGGGGGGTGAATAGCGTTTAAAGCAAAATCGCAGGAAATTAAAAAACGAGAGCGAAAAAGTAAAGAGCGTAAGGAAGGAGCACACCGAATTTTATCCTGGTTCACCACAACGTGTGGCTAATCCAGCCTTTCGAGAGACTCTCTCGAGTTTGTTGTACCCAAACTTAGGATAGATAAACAGGAACAGATTCACTTCAAGGTTCAGAGCTAAGGAATAATCGATTAACACAATTGATAAATCGATTAATAGGGATTAGCTCAACTGGAATTGTTCAGAGGAACCAGATAATCGATTGACACTACAAGACAATCGATTGTGTGATGTTGCAGATTTTGAAGAAGAATCAGAAGGCTTCAATAGTCGATTATCAAA